TAATGCGATTACTAATTGTGTGAATTGTAGCGACATTCTTACTGAGTTCGTCAGACTGCAAATTTTGCGTGAGTCCTTATCATAAAAATCTTAAAAGCAATCTTTGATTGATAGAAAAATTTATAAGTATTGCGCATGTTCCTAGACCATGTGGAATTTATCACTGCCTTTGAGAAAAACATTGGGTATTACCTTTCATAGTGACAGAATTGTTCATGATTAAACATGAATTTTGCGTAAAGGATGAAACTGTTTTGAGCCACCTGCTTCTATTATTGAAAAATTAACCGAATATAAATTATTATTTTCAATAATCTTAGACAGTAATGGCGAAGTTATACAATACTGTATTCATAACATAGGTATACACACAGGCGGGGAGCCGGCAACCGCTAGAAACCAAATTTTACGAGGTGCTAAAAAACCCTATAGCACCAATTATCACAAAACATAGTCTTATTAAGCAATGTAGAAACAGCCACAGAGTTTAGATATATAAATATTATCTAAGCTTAATCCGATTAGGATGAAAAAACCCCATATCAGCTACACTCCACGAAAAGATTAGATTTGCATATAATTTAAGGCATAAAAATATATTAGATAAATAAAAATTTGTGTCTTTTATTTAAGTATTTACTCACCTGGTCAGACCACAATATTACTATTATATACTAATATTATTAGACATAATGTTTAATTGGTACTGCAGTTATAAGCCAGCCTTTGCAATAGGGTTCAGAAGATGAAGACTCTACTCGGGGGTTGTCCGGTCCATGGCCCTTTATGAGGCCCCAGTATGGGCGGAAGCCCTAAAGGCCAGTAACGTTGCACTACTGCGACGACTGCAGCGAGTGCTGGCCTTCAGGGTCATGAGAGGTCAGAGTATCTATTAAATCTAGCGATACAAGCTAGAATCTGTATCGCACTATCTAAAAAATATATTTCTGGCAATAACATTAAAGGAAGTATTACGGATTTGCTGATATGATACACTGGCGGTTGAATCCGTGAACGTTCTAGTTTAAAACTGGAACGTTAAATGTTACCTACATGTACGCTATGCTTATCTACAATCGATAAACATTACTTTTTTCTTGCCGAGTGAAATGAGCAACAATTGAACATTTTTTTTTAAATGGAGTGATATAAAATTTCTGAGCCAGTAGATGTCGTAGTCGTAGTCATCTTCAATTACAGGACGTCTTAACTTACTACTACTAGCACTACCCCAATTTACCCTCTTGAGTTGCCCCATTGGGCTGATGGCAGGCAGAAAATAAACAGTCAAAACTTTTACATCATTACATACATTTACATTTACGTTTCACATTGCGCCAACTTCATAATATTTAGGATTCAAAAATTGCAAGAACTGGCTGATGATGAGAATGATAATAATTAGGTAATGTGTCTAAAAATATGACAGTTGTATGGTACTCTGCGCCATTGACTCTCGTGGTAAATGAAAATCGCATTAGGTTGAGATAAATTATTTGTTACAACAAAAGGAACGCCTAAAGACCGCTGAATACAACATGTCTTTATTCATCTTCACTCGTGGATTTAGTTTTAAAAAGTCCATAGCAAACATTAAGGCCTTTAAAATTGTACGTTGATTAAACTCAGAGATTCCTAAACTATTTTGGTCAAGAGACCCGTTTTCTAAAATGAACTGATACCTCAGACCCCCATATCCAAATTACTGCACGCTATCGAAAACTCAACAAAGTCTTTTAAAAGTACAACAATGATACTTCCTACTAAAACATTCGTTATTCTTATAACAAGTTGGTATACGTAACACAACTAAAACCTCACCTACTACTACAGTCAGTACCTCGTCGATCCCCATAATCAGTTTTCGTTTATGTCGACCCCTGGGCAACCTGGGACCACTTTGGGCATCCCCGATTTAACTCATAGATAAATCAACAATTTTAGTATGAATATAGCCTTAAATTATACACAGTATATTTATATTATCGGTAGAGGTTAGATATTGATACTTCGTTTCCGCACGTAGCCATTCCTTTTCCGTGGTACTGCCATAATCGGAAGTAGGGATAGAGATTCGCGCGTTTTCCCCCCTCCTACTCCACAACCCACACCCCATACGTCCGGCCGTCCCGTAGGCCGCCGCTGTCCAATTTCCTCTTCCCGCGTGTATTAATTTCCGGCTTAAACTATTTCATGTCTTTCATTTCCTATTAATATTCGTAATGATTTTTGTAACATTTTGAACGTTTAAGATTTCATCACGAATTACATTTAAATATACTAGGTTTAATGCATTCTATTCTGTATCGTAACGATTCTGCATAATACAATTGATAGTGACACGTTATATCAATTCTGCATAATATATTTGATAGTAACACGTCATATAGGTATTGATTATTATTTTTGATAAATGATAATTTCAAAATATAGCTATCAGCAATATATGCATATCAATCAGATTTATCGAGTCATCGAGAAATCCAGCTAGAAAAACCAGTTTTCAACGAAGACTACATTACAAGAAAAAGGCCATAATCATAAGCCCTTTAATTGTTGAAAAACCTATCTACATAACACAAACACAATAGACAAACAAAATAGTCCTTTAACATAGTTAATCGTTGTAACTATATTATACACTAGCTGACCCGCGCAACTTCGTCTGCGTCTCTCAATAGTAATAAATTTTCTCCGTTTTTGAAACATTCTTCATTGGTGCTCCGCTCCTATTGGTCTTAGCGTGATGATATATAGCCTATAGCCTTCCTCGATAAATGGGCTATCTAACACTGAAAAAAATTTTCAAATCGGACCAGTAGTTCCTGAGATTAGCGCGTTCAAACAAACAAACAAACAAACAAACAAACAAACTCTTCAGCTTTATAATATTAGTATAGATTACGCAATAACAATGATAAAGTACCTAAGTAGGTAGATATACGTAAAACACACGGCTTAAGTTAGTATCCTTGAAGGAGTAAAAAGCTGCATTCTGACTTTTTTCGATACACCTAAGTAGTATGTATGTACATATATTAATTAAATTACTTATCTAATATTTCTAAAAATTGCATCCAGTTCCGTTTCCGTTTAATATATTTTTAAAATTCTATTTCCTCTTCCTTTACCACGTTTCCGTAAAATTTAACTATGTTACTACATATTGATTTCATACATGTGTTAAGTATCTACTTTTTAATGTTGAACACCTACAAATTGTGATGTAACCAAAACCAAAAGAAAGAGTAAAAATTGCAACCACTTAGTTTTTAGGTATACCTTATAGACATACCCATAGGAATTACAAAACGTCTATAAACAAATACACGGTAAGAACGATGCTGAAAGCATGCGCTCACGCAATGAACTTATTTCGGGTACTTCCGCATGTGTTCGGATTCGAATCCGACCCAACCGCTCAACGCATTCCGACTGGGTTACGAGCACAGATAATCTGTGGTCACAAGTCACAACCTCATTTACCTACTGTTCAGTACTATAGACAGCAAATACTGCAATAACTACCTCAAACGTAACTTTAACTGTTAAGGTGTGGTTTATTGTAACTGGAGTACCTACTAGGTACCTACCAAAACTATCACTACAATATAAGAGAACATTTATATCTAAATGATCTTTAGTTATTATCCTAAGAACGTTGCTGTTCTGTTTTGTTACCTAGACAGAGTGTTACCACAACTAACTACACAACATTTAATACAGCGAATGATACATACTAATCATCTTAAAAATAAGTCGCCGTAACTCAATACAACAGTAATCAGACTTATACATTTTTAGTATACGATTTCACGTAATACCAAAACATTAGAACTTTGACAAAGAAAGTAGCATTCAGTTCTGCGGTCACGGTCACGTATGACCGAACATGATGGTCTTTTATTCTCTAAATTACTGCACATAACTCCACGACGGTCGTCTGCACGCCGCCCGAACACCAAGCAATACCGACCTACGAGTAAGAGCGAGATAATATGAGCAGGGTGTGCGGGGCGGGCGAAGGGAGCAACAGGTAAAGATTCCGAGGCCACTTCCGTCTTGGCTGCCGAATATTTCTGTCTCGAACCGGTAGTGGGACGGCGGCCAGGGCACAAACAAGATAATCTCAACCTACACATATACACGCATATTAAACGTAACCATATAACTATATTGCCTCGCAATGCGACATGCTTTGTTAATTTAAGATCGATACATCAAATATGTAATAGGTACTGTAATCACAAAATACTTACTATAAAATCTACTATTAAAAATTCGTGATCAGAAAATTACCGAAGCAATATATTTTAACATGTTTATGATTTTATGCTTGTCGCAATCTTCACAAGCATAATGCTCACGTACCTGATTCGAATGAGCTCAGCTCAAACCGGTTAGCGCTCATATTGTCTCAGTCTGCACCAGGAAACTGTCGGCCCGTTGCTAAGACGTTTCCTGTGCTTTGTCTCAGTACTGTCACGATATCTTTAAGTACTCATTGATATATTATATTATATTATATTACATTCGTGAATTCCTTATAATATATGAATCCTCTCCTCCAATATTTTACGCAGGTATGCATAAATTGAAACTCTATTGTCTGCAGTAAAGTGCATCTCAGAATATTCTAAAAAATATTTTATCTTTCAAAAAGTACCTACTTTTGCCCGGAAATTAAACGCATTAAATCCGAATAAAAAACTTGTAGCTCTGTGATTACTGTACAAACAAGGAAATATTGTGAGTTATTAAAAACTGGCGCGCTGACGTAATCCTGCATCATTAATTACTAACACTTCCGCATGCCCTAAACGGGCACTCTCATACAATAGTCCTATTCCAACGTTCCTCCAAAATTAAATATTACATTAATAGGTACACTTATTGCTTAATACCTGACGTGTCAAGTGATAATCGTATAACGTCGTCTGTCAACAATAATCTACCCTGATAACGGTTTGCGGAAACAGTTCTCATACGTTTAGTTAAAAATGGGACTTGGTCTAGCTCCCGAAGTTTTATCTCAAATGTGTGAGGTGGCACGGGGCGGTAGAATAGGGGGAGGGGAGTGGTTGGCGCGTCCGTCCGCCCGCACCGCCACCGCATCATCAGTCCGCGTCGGAGAGTTGCCCGCGACGGTTGTCTGCGAGCTCGATCCCTCAGATACGCTGCTGGTTTACGGCGTGCCGTAACACGACACGTTTGGAGGGACCGCCGCTGCTACGCGTGTGTCTGGTGCTCATGAACACTGTTTTCTGTGCTTAAAGTGTTGTGACGATGTACATGTGCTGACTATCGAATAACCATCTACTAATAGGATTTTTACGACGCAACCAGTTCCGGATCAGCTCAGCCGGTAAGTAGCGGTGCTTATCGCAGACCACGCTATCGCGGACCCACGCATTTCCGACCGCGCCCGATAAGGCAACTGTACAGTGCTTAGAGATATGGACTTCGAATCCGGCAACAAAATCAACACGTAAAAACATAATTACAGGGCACCGTCAAACCCTTAGGTCCGTAATGACGACTAATATTAGGGTTAACGATAGACTAGGCCCCACGAAATACTTTAACATTTGTTTCCTATAAAAATAAGACATCGAATTAAACTACTTAAATAAAGTCCACGAATGCCGAGTGGCAAAATACATGAGTATGTAGACGACAATTGACATTCAAAGTTGTAAATAATTTAGTTTTACGCGCTTCTTACTGGAAATTTGATAAAGTTGATGGAAATTAGGCTATATCTATCTTACCTCCAGAGACCAATTCTGAAACCTAGTGACAGTCAGTATAAACATACAGTAGTCCTTGAAAGAAACGAATCAGAGTATATTGGACATAAAATGACAAAAAAAATAACACTAGTTCTGAAAAATAAGAAGTAAGAGTAGCCAGAGAATAAATATTGTATGTCTGGTTCCGCAAATACTTATCACAACGATACAGCGAAATGGCTTAAAACGTTTATTAAAACTTTGTGTTATCAGTTTGTGATAACCCAAGACCAACTCAACAACAATGCTTAACCCACAAATTTAAATAAAACTAAAAGTATGTAGACAAAACAACAAGCATTACATATAATCTTGACCTTATAAGTTACAATAGAAATAAAAAACTTACAAGCACTTGTAAGATATTAGTTCTGTAAATATATATGTACAGTAAATTATGTAACAACGAATTGTGCATGAGTTATCGTCAGTCGAACCAAAGGTCATCAATATGTATAATAAAAAAAAAGTAAAACAGAAATATTGATTTCAATAAATATTAGTTCTGCTTATATAACACAAAGTAGAATTTTTTACTATTGAGTGTAATTTATATTTCAACAATTTTAACTACATGAAAATGAAAAAATATATAATATAAAATATTTTCAAATGTCGCTGTCAGTAAGATTTTGATAATGACAGACAAGATGCCATTTTTATCTGATAAGTGGCGTAAACAAACTGGAGGGCTCGTTAGCGCCATCTGTTATCGAATCGCCAAACTAAACTATTATCCATCAATCACCTCTCGATTTAATTCAGATATCCAACAAATGATAAGTAATACTCATTACTGTTATAACAGGTTTTCTGTTTTTTTTTACAGAATATCGGGATGAAAGTAGTTAGTCTGCAACTGCCATCTGGGCCAAGTATGGAGCGGTTACCGCTTCCATTCAGCCCTACGGAGCTATTATGGCGGTACCCACTACCTTGGGCCCCGCCACCACCTTCGCCGTTAGGTGATGCGAAGGCACAACTACCGGCCGGTCTTCCTCCAGAACCAAGATTATGGACTAGGGAAGACGTAGCCGTTTTCATTAAATGGTGTGAAAGAGAGTTCGACTTACCAAACTTCGATATGGATCTTTTTCAAATGAATGGTAATAAGTTAACAATATAAATGTGTCATCTGTGCCCACATTGTTGATTAAAAATCCTTAACAGGATTACTGGTTATTTAAAACTAACAGTAACTTGTCTATTACAGGTAAGGCTTTATGCCTCTTGACGAAAACAGACTTGGGCGAACGTTGCCCAGGTGCGGGGGACGTTCTACACAACGTTTTGCAAATGTTAGTACGTGATGCAGCTTTATTAGGAAGAGTTCCTTCATCGCCTGTAACACCTACGGCACGAGCTGCACCCTATCCACCATCTCCACACTCACATCCGCCAACTCCTACGTGGGCGGTTGATGGTTTCCATCATTTTCATAGTGCCGCAGCAGCAGCTGCTCAACCTAACTCAGTGACGTTAAGTCCTGCTCCATCAGTCGATAGTTCAGGGAGTCCGCAAAGAGGAGAGGCGGTAAAACTACGGACCAACATATGCCCCAAACGTGCCCGCTTCTACTCAGGCGGCCAGTTCAGGAAGCAATCATTCTGATTCTGATGAAGAACCCCAATTCGCTCCACCTCCACGATCTCCAAAGGAAGCGCCGCTTGTCAGTCCCGCACCACAAGTCCACGCAGCGCCCCAGCACTCACATTATCGTGCGCAACACAGAGAATTCTTTCCAAATGATATGCCTGAATCCAATACAAGTTAGTATTAAAAAATCATTTTTCTTAGAGTTATAGATCTCTTAACTCTTTAAAATTTGTAATTGAAACATACAAACATAAAACTTAACAACTTTTTGACAATTTCAGATGGAAGATTACTTTGGGACTTCCTTCAACAACTACTAAATGACCCATCACAGCGATATACCAACTACATTGCGTGGAAAAACAGAGAAACTGGAGTCTTCAAAATAGTAGATCCTGCGGGTTTGGCAAAACTTTGGGAATCCAAAAGAATCACCTCTCCATGAATTACGACAAAATGTCACGCGCATTGAGATATTATTACCGCGTCAATATTCTGCGGAAAGTTCAAGGGGAAAGACATTGTTACCAGTAAGTACACAAAGTTATTAAATTATCAAAGTATACCACAGTCCACGGTATCTATCTTTTTTCACAGAAGTTTAATTCTGTTATTTTATTACAGGTTCCTCAGGAATCCTACCGAATTAAAAAACATTAAAAACATATCACTTTTACGGCAACAAATGAGTCCAACAAGCGTTGTCTCTCATCCGACCGTGAAAACAGAAATGAAAGAAGAACGTTGTGAAATTGAAGAACCTGCCGACGAAGATATGCCTACTGACTTAAGTATGGCGGCATCGGAGCCATGGCGGAAGCGTGCGCGATCTGATGCTCCTTCCGCCCCTGTTCCACATGACAAACATCATATAAGTGCACTTATCGGTGACAATATGATGATGAAACGGGAGTCTGATTACGCAACAGAACATTATGCACTTAATCTTAAAAGTGAAGTGTGAACAATGATAAAAAAAGACTAAACGTAGAACACTAATCAGTGCGACGCGCTTTTCATGCATAATCAACATGCAACTAACTCCACCCACTAAAATTCTAGTCAAACTTCTCTCAGACAGGATATTTAAGTCTTCCTCTAAAATATTAAAGTACCTGATGAACAATAACTGAGAGTGCTTTGACAGACTTGGAATGGTCATTGGAGTTAAACAGGGTATGGACCTAAATTATGCCTTTGTGCCAAGTGATTTTTATACCTAATAGTGTCAATTATCTAAAAGTTAGTTGAAATGGACAAGAGTTTATTTGTGTTAAAGTCATAAAAACGTTTGTAAAAATTGTGCAATGGAATTACTACTCGTGTAACTACCAACGAAGTTCTAGAAGTGGTAGTAAACTCAATACTGCAGCAGCACACATTCAGCAAATAGTCATCACATCTAGGGCAGGTGTGTACCTGCCATTGGTCGAGACCGCCACGAAGTAATCGCTCAACACAGGATTCTGCCGGCAAGCCTAATCTATAGCAAGTAAGTATATTATAAAAAAAATATAAAAAAAGTAAACTTATAAAGTGTATTTTATACATTTGAGAACTTGCCCCAGTTAGAATTATTTTTTTTATCGTAATACTAAAAACCGTTTTTTTTTTTATTCCAGATGGAATATTTCAACTCTATTCCTTCAACAACTTCTGTTTCATCAGTACAACATTATACAGACTACACTACACGGAAAATTAAAAAGCTAATAACAGTAGATTGGGCTGGATTGACCAAACAACGAAGTTTAGAAGAATAACCATTTCATCAATTTTAAAATAACATGTGCTACGTAGTTAACATTTTACAGAGGTCAATGTAGAGAATTGCTACATTTAGGTTCTTAAGGGATTGCTGATGTATCTGAGGAATAAAATCCAAAGAGAAATAAATTTATGAATTTTCTTACGTTGACAAACAATCTGTCTATGAAAACGTCCCGATTAGTTGGAAGGATTCATTTTGCACTCGATCAATGTTAAAAGTGATACATGTACAAGTAATTACTAAAGACGTTAGACACTTGTGCGATACGCGCGCTTTGCCTACATATCAAAATACAAATAACTCCACCTCCTAAATATCTAATCAAACATCTCTAAGAAAGAATATATCAGTTTTCTTAGAGTGCTTTGACAGATTTTATAGTCGTTGGAGTTAAACAGAGTATGGACGTAAATGACGCCTTTGTGCCAAGTTTTTTTTATATACTTTTGAGTATCGATTTCCTAAATAATTACAAGAGTCATTTTAAAATGAGTGCCGAATTTGCATAATGTTTTAGTAGTATTCGTACCATTGTATCGTGAAATTATCTAACTCTGTGATTTCAACACCCATGTCATATTGTAGACAGCCTAACAAAGGGGAGAAGCAGTAAACTACGCTCCAAGATATGTTAATACTAATAGACTATTATTACAACCACACAGCAATTGCAACCAGTTGCACATGTTTGCAAATGTTCCATTTTATGCTTGAATTTATTGAGGTTTAAACATCAAACTGTTTTTCCCTAACCAATGGTTCTGGGAAGCCTTGCTTGCACGGCTGTAGAAGTTATAATTGTTTTGGTGAAAAACTAAAAATCGCACAAACTTCATATTGTCCGTTAAGGTAATCGCACACATAAAGCAAATCCAGTAGCTGCTGCTGATATTAAGATTTTCGCCAAAACTCGGTTTCTATCTGTAAATTGTGCGTAATTCGCACTTATAAATGCATTTGCGTAATTTAATTAGTTTTATGAGTGCTTCATGTTTGTTACGATTTGCTGAAAAGAGAATATATAAAATAAAAAGTTGAGAATTTAAAAGATTATTGTCATAAACAATGCAACGTCTTCCATTCGTTCTTTTTGGCAAACCTTCAATTGTAGCATGTGAAATGTTAGTTACTATAACATCTACCACATATTTCTAAATTACGTTTACTTTGATTTGTACAAAGAATGTGTTTTAATCTTTAAATACATATGACAATAAGTTGTCAAACAATTTGCTAAGATATGCCTTGGAATCAATAAAACGCACCCACTGTGATAAAAATATAAGTGGTAGACATATAGTAGTGTAGAATAGAGTAGTGTACTCAAAGATTTCCAGCTACAATTTTCTGTGATCTCTTTAATCAATGTAGGTAGTTAGATGTTATAGAGTAAACATATTTCTTGTAAATATTAATATAGTGGTAGGTAAGGTAGAATAAAAAACCGACTGTAAAGAGAGTATGTATGATTTGTAAAACAAAAAGTGGAGCTTTATCAAAGTACCTAGAGTATATGTGTAAGTTTGAGTTTGTATTTTTACAATTATTTGTATTGACATGTATGCCATGTTTCAAGCTTGTTGTACACAATACAATAAAACAAAAGTTTCACATTTAAATATTGTGTCAGATTTATTATAACTTTAAATAAACGAGAAATAATATTATAAATAATAATAATAGGTGTTTTGTTATTGAAGGTTTATTACAATCAATCATTTCATAATCCTTTAAAGCTACGAGGTGAGTAACTAAAATAAAAACTACGCTGTCTATAGTGCGGCCCTTGTTGAGTAAAACGTTTCTTCTGACTTATTCCCTCTTTTTAAATTGTGTTTTGCTATCAAGGTGTTGTCAAATAAAAACTTCGTGGATGTGAGCTTGTAACGCCGTAAAGCACACACATTTAAATTAGTTCATAGCTTAGATTGAGCTCGACAAATATGTAAAATGTATTATCATATTGACTCAGTCCTCTCCTAGAAAACAATAGTTAAACATTTGGGAGAATACAGCCAATTTTCTAATTTGATTATAGGTGCTCAATTAGGGAAATAACTTTTATTAGTAAGTACTACATTTAGAGACATGAAAAAAAACTGCAGCCTGGAGGTATCAATTATGTAAGTAGCTGACCTATGATAAATTCCATCAAACAAAAGGCAGGCTCAAGTAGTGCAAGGACAAAGAAAATTCGAGATGAAGCCGATGGACGGCTAACGTATGTAAGCAATTAACGATTTATGGCTAGGACAAATTCTAGCAGTCATTTTGGAGATGATGTAGTCTTATTAGGAGCGAAGAAATCACATTTAAAATTACTATGTAATAAAGTCTAGATCATCAAGATAAACTAAACACACAGTATTACATAATATAGTTTTGCGTAATTAACAGATAATAATGTGTAATAAAATATACTCACGCATATATACACTTCCTGAAAATATACAATATTTTCGAACTGTGTAAAATGTGATAGTTAGAAGTGATTCAATTCTCTGGAGTTCATTTTTTTAATTTTATTATTTTCGTATAAGTGGGATTACCTACTTATATAGTAAGATATACACTGATTACAGTCACTCTCACAATATTACGACAAAACTCACGACATCTCTGAATCCAAAATCCATCAAGCTGCTTAACTACACAGAGCGTGCCAAAGAAATATACATACAATCGGGTAAATACATATCACTTTTGATAGTTTAACGGGTAGTTTCTGCACAAAATGGTCTTATACATTTTAAATTATTACAATACACATTCATACACAATAGCGTTCAGCGCATTCTGCTATCCCATTATGAGGGGACTTTCGAGTTAAATATACTATGGTTTGTAGAAATCTTGCTTTATCGGAAAGTAGGAGACAAGGGAGGATGGGGATTCGAGAAAGTAAAAACTGACATTACTCGCAGATTGCGGCTAGCTTAGCTAGTGGGTATTTAGATTGGCAACGTAAAGCAAACACACATCTATGTATATTGACACATGTCTATGTACACACATAGTAGTGTTTACTTTTAAATTACATAAATACATATGGATATATTTATAGTATACGTGACTGATATTGCCCTATAATTTTCTTAATGCTGTCTTCCACAAAATTATAAGATAGCAGTTAAACAAACCAAAACAAAGGAGAGAACCTAAATAGTTAAGAAGAAACCAGCTGTAAAAATAGGAGGTTCTCAATTTTGCTGTATTTTTTAATGTTTGTTACCTAGCTAAATTTGGCTTTGTTTATTTTAAATAAAACTCTTCCACTGTTTTAAGTAAAGGTCCCGTTTAGTCCCATAGAAATAAAAAAAAGCACTCCTAAGGGTAAATGTTAAGGAATGAACAATTAAGTGTATTGCCCTACGTCGTGTCCGTATGGAGCCATTTCAGATTTTAAACGGAAACCCCTTATTTAGTAGGTAAGCAAATAATTTTGCAGGACAAATTCTGAAATTTGTAGTAAGATATATCCAAAGTTACATCAATGTAAAAGTGGCTCCAAAATCTACACATTTGAATTGAGGAGCCATCTGAAAACAAGGAAAGTATTTAATAAATATTTTTGAAAATTTTGTGTTTAGTGCCTACTAAAAATCTGAATCCAGCACTGTTGATATTCAAGAAAATACAATATTTTTATTGTTGCTCCTCATGCTATATTTAAGAGCGTGAATTGCCATGAAATTAATAGGTCAAAATTTATATTCCACTCAAAAAACATTTAGTAGCAAGTGTGTTTAAATTTGTAGCATCACGAGAAAATAGTAAAATGCGTGGATTTAGAAAATAAACGCACTTTATTTGGCTCCTCAATCCTGACGTTCTGCAAAATAAATAATCAACTGTACCTACCTGAGATCACAATAGCAACCAAAACCTGTGACACTAACATTTAGTATAAATGTCTACTAAATAAATATGTACAGATCAACGTTGTATATATTCGGTATTTGAAAAATAAATTACTTTTTGATATTCCTTATGAATTCGCTACATAGGGTGACCATGTCAAAATGTGAAATCACAAGGACTACCTTTTAAAATTTAATTTTCAACAAATTGACAATTATCAAAATATGGAAATTCTTCAGTTATAATAATGTAATATATGTATGTATCTCACACGGCCGTCTGATCCCAAACTAGGCAGAGCCTGTACTATGGTAACCAGACAGCTGATAAACATACTTATATATTTTGAAATAGATACATATTATAGATAAAGTACACCCAGACACAGAACAAATGACCGTGCTCATCACACAATATTTGTCCTGAGTGGGAATTGAACCCACGACCTCCGGTTTAGCAGTCAGGGTCACTAACCACTAGACCAACAGGCCCGTCAAACTATTTATTAATCAATTTGGACTTAGGTTATACAATGAATTCATATTGGTTGGTCGGTTACTTGACAAATTTTACACTGAGAATCATAGTCGTCGTAACAAAACATCTCGTCCTTCGTCGGGTAGTGACATGTATAGCGTCGCTATATGCATAAAATTTAAATTGGTCTTAAATATTTTGGAACGAAGTTCCTTATCGCGCGTTGTGAAAGGGGGCTACACGGAAAAAATTCGTACGAAAATTTGGAACGACACTTTTTTATTAATATAAATTGACGTCTAACTGTGGATACCATACATTAAATTTGCTTTTACCTTCGCCAACGTCCATACCATGTTGAATACACCGGTTCTCGTCCGATCACCGAAGTTAAGCAACATCGGGCGTGGTTAGTACTTGGATGGGTGACCGCCTGGAAATACCACGTGATGTTGGGTTTTTGCTCTTTATTTTCGTGTCATCTTGTCAGACATTCAGCGCCATCTATCGAATAGATAGGAAATCATTTCGCAAGGAGATTTTACCAATGTATAAATTGTTTTAATTGTTTTTAATATGTAGGTAATAGCCGCTTTCATAGATG